CACGCAGCTCACCTGTAAAGGCATCTGACACCTGAATCAAAACCCGAATTCAAGGACCGCGGGACCGTGCTGCTCGGGGTGGAAAAGGGTGAAAGGGGATTGATAGGGCCGGGTGACAACCACCTGGGCCTGCCCTGACAGGCGCCTGGGCCGCTCCCGGGCAGGAGGGGCCCCAGGTGCAGGCAGCTGGAGTTTCTCGCCCAGCCCCATCCCGGAGAGGCCTGTGGGCGTGGGAAGTGTGATGGCTGGCCTCCGCTCCCCACCGACGGCCTGCCTCCCGGATCCTGGCCTCCTGGGCGAGGCTTGCCTGCTAGGCAGTGCTGGGAGAGGTTCCAGAGCAGGGCACCTGGCTGAACATTATCATCTCCAGGGAAGCTTAAAAAAGAAAAAACCACGCCCAGGCCCCTCCACAAAACAATTGATCCAATCTATGGGCTGGGTTAAGAACCACAATGCAGGAAACGCGGGTCTGTCTGTTGGGGGAAGAAGGGAGGGCAGGCAAGTCTCCTGGATTTAGGCCAGTCTTTGACACTCCTGCACAAAGGGCGGGAAGGGGGTGCAGATGCCCCTCAGTTCCTGCAAGTTTTAAAATGGGGAAAGGCGCCCGGCCAGGCCAGGCCCAGCGGTTGAGCATCGACCTATGATCCAGGAGATCCCTGTTCGATTCCCGGTCAAGGCACATGCCCAGGTTGTGGGCTCCATCCCCAGTCGGGGGCGTGCAGGAGGCAGCAGATCAATGATGATGCTCTCATCATTGATGTTTCTATCTCTCCCTCTCCCTAAAATCAATAAAGGTATATTTAAAAAATAAAAATAAATAAAATGGGGGCAGGCCTCCCTTGTTCCTCAGGCTCCTGGAGATAAGGGTACCTGGTACCAGTCTTCCTTCCGGTTCCCTCCCCTCCTTCCCTTCCAACCAGCTTCACACTGCCCCTGCTGGGAGAAGTCAAGAAAGTTGTGGGACTCTACAAAACCGGTTTAGCTGTTGAAGGTGAAATCAAAGCAATTCAAACTTTAAGTAATACATTTTAAACGGAACAAGATAATAAAATAGCGTGCACTTTATTTAAAACCAACCAAGCGCTGATAAAAATATATATCACTGCAGCTGTGATTCCACATCAAACCGTAACAGTAAGAACTGGGCATTTATTCATTCTTCATGTCATGTGCGTCATGTGCCCAGCCTGGCAGAGGAGGATGTCCACCTCCAACAGAGCCTCAAAGGAAGAATGGGAGCCCTGGTCCCTGCTCCCGCAGAGCATGTGAAGGGAAGGGGCTGTGGTGCCATCTCTGGTGTGTCTGCTCCATGATCCTCCCAGGCCACTGGAGTGGGCTTTGATCAGCAGCTCCTTGGTGGCAGTGAGTGGAGAGAGAGATGGAGACCCGCCTGGAGCTCTGCTGACAAGGAGCTCCTTCTTCCTCAGGTCCCTGAAGTCCCCACAGGGGAACTGATGGCCACTGCATGGTCCTACTTGCAGGCACAGCCTACAAAGCAGCTGTCTCTTGCTTTGGCTGAAGGGAAATCAAGATCCTGAGAGGAACCACTCCTTGACACAAAGCAGCCACAGCATGCCTTCCTTCACACAGTACAGCAGCAGGCAAGCACAGGGCCTGCTGGCTCGGATTTTAAGGCACTTGTTACAGACTCAATGTACATCTTGCCCCCAGCCCCGTGGGGGAATGTCCCCACTTCCCTTCCCCACAGGTCCCATATGGCCTGCCTCTTTCCCCCCTGGGCAATGAAGGGGACAGGAGCAGGCCTTGAGGGACAGTGGTTTGGTAGGAGCAGAGGGCTGGAAGGAGACAAACGGGGAGAGAGCTGGAACTTGGCAAAGGAGAAGCAAAAGGACAAGAGAGCAAGAGCATCAGCAGGGAGGCAAGGTGGTGGCAGAGTCACAGGAGGCCAGTGGCAGTGATGTTCACTGAGAACCGATGCATGAGCTGGGGGGATAGGGGTGCCTTCCAAGCTGCCCTAGGTGACACAGGCTGGGAGCAGAGAAAGGGGCAAGAGAACCAATCTCAGACAGAGGCCCAGCAGGGGGAATGGTCTTCCTCCCTCTCAGCTGGGGGATACAGAGATAAAAGTTCTGAAGGTTCAGAGACAGGGCGAGACACAGGTGGGGGCTGGAAGGAGGGCCAGTGACCCAGGAGCAGCTCAGCTCTTTGGTATGACAAAGGTGGCAGTGGCGTTGTCAGGTATCCTTCTCACTCCTCCTCCATGCCCCGGGTTCCCTTGGCCACTCGCCTCTGCCGCCAGCGCATCTCCTCTACCTGGCGTTCCAGAGACCGAACCTTGGCCTCCAGTTGTGCCCCTGAGGCCCGGCTGCCAGTGATCCGGCTCACCAAAGCATAGACGGTCAGCAAGACCAGGAGGAACAAGGCCCGGGTGGAAGGGTCGGGCACCGACCTCACCAGGGCCACAAAGCCAACCAAGAAGATGACAAACTTCAGGCCCCACAGGATCCGCCCCAGCAAGGCCAAGACCAAGCCGAGGACCAGGGACAGAAGCCAGTAGATTACCAGGGCCCCTGCTCCCCACAGCAGGAAGGTCTGGACCTGGCTGGGGCTGAGCTGCAGGACCTGGGTGAGGTGATCTCCTGAAAGAGGGAAGAGTCACAGAATCAGCCAACCTAGAGT